GTTGCAACTTACAAACTCACTACAACAACAAAGCACTACAAGACCAACCACGACAAAGGCTTCACCCACCATAAACAAGAGCTTCAACCACCAAAAACGAGAGCTTCAACCACGGCACCAACAACTTCACCCTTCCACCATGACGAGAACTTCAACTAACAATGATAACCAGCGACAGAGGGCAAAAGGTTAACCCACCCACCACAATAAGAGCTTGAACCAACAACAACAACTAGCAACGACTAACAACAACTAGCAACGACTAACAACAACTTCACCCAACCACCATGGAAACAACTTCAACAATGACAACCAGCGAACGATAACAATGACAAGAAACACAGAAGAGAAAAAATGTAAAGCACGAGAACAAGAACGAGAACGAAAGAGACGAATTGCAAAACAAAGAAAGTGAAGCGCAAAAGAAGATTTAGGGCATAATGTAAAATAATTTATACTAATCATAATGTCTAATCGGTATTGAAAAATTTCTCCAATATTACATTTATGCTACTTTACAAATTCTATACCGATTTTAAATCTAATATGTATAAAAAAAATGACTTTATATACCTATTTTGTTAGCAAATAATATAGAAATATTTATAATTTATTATTATTTTACCACACACCATTTTTTTTATATATGTTCTTAGTGCAACTTGTATGAAAAAACTTTTTATATTTATAATATTATTACCGTTTGATTTTAACTAGTATAAAAAATGGCTAATAAAAATTATATTTTTCACTTAGGAATGTTATTTTCTTAAGGAATACTTGACTTCAAACGTCAAGAACCAATGAATCATGATTCATGAATCCCTACAATGATTCATTATCTTCTACCAAATTTAGGGACAATTTCTTGGAACAGAACCACTTTTTGACTTATGAACCTTATTTTTGTGAAATGTAAACACAATTAAGTCGAAGACTGCGTACCTTTTGACACAAACAAAATACATGTGTACCTCTTCTATAATATAAAGGAAGTATTCTTTTAGAGTAAATTATAAACAATTTTTAATTTCCTAAATTCTGTTCAATATTACTATTTTAAAAATACTCTCATCTTTAAACTAAAACATCCTTCTTAATAAACATAGCTTGATTTTATTTTAAATAATCCACACGTTACAAAAAAAAAACAGAGAAAATAATGCAGTTGATCTTTTCAAATGGAGCCATACTAACACGCTCAAGCCACAAGAAATGCAAATTAAAACTGGTATAAAGAATAATATCATATATTTTAAAAGTAATTATTGTTGATAATCATTCTGTCATATCTAAATGATAAAATTACCCAGATGCAGAAAATATATGGTATAATATTATTTGAAAATTCTTGTATAATTGAAATGTTATTTCTCTGAGTTTTTTTATATATATAAATTTCAATATGAAAGTTAGTTTTGAAAGAAAAGATAAATTAGATTTGAATGATACTAACAGATTTTCTTTGATTAGAGTGACTTTTATTTTTATATTTGAGATTGAGGACAATTATTACGTGCGAAGTAAATAATATAGTAAAGTAAAATAGTTTCACGTCTCATCAAATTATGAACATTTATAATTATGAGATAGATTTATTGACCTTTTCCACAAACATATTAACGTATTCCTATTAAATTCAAGATTTTTACATTATTAAGCTATGAAAAATAACTATCAATACGATTTTTCTATTTGTTTTAAAAACTTGTGCTGAATATAATATAGGGAATTTTAGATTAGTTTTACATTATTTTTTAATTGGAAAAAACATCTTCCGTAGTAAGTGTAAATTACATTTTTTTTCTTATATTTAAAATGAATGAGAGTAATTATCAAACTAATTTATATAGTTTTGTTCTCTTTTTAACTTTGATCCATTCTCCTCTTACTTTTTATGTCATTTAGTTGATCTATTTTAACAAAATTGTAATTTGAATATAATTCTCAATTTAATAATTAATAATAAAAGCAACAAAACACTGTCAGCTTTTATAACAGTAAAATGAATAGACCGCGTTAGACTCGTGTAAAGACAAATATATTACAAAAAGCCATGTGTCTTCTTCACATTAGTTTGACTATTTCAGAGGGTGGGACCCACACGAAAGCTTATTAAATAAATACAAATTTAAATATGTATGTCAGTCCTTAAAAACAATTAGTGATATTATATGGTTAGTCTTTTAAGTTTCTTAAAATTAAAATATTTTTATTTAATAGTAATATTGTTCAAATAATTACGTGAAATATATAGAGAGAAGGGAAAACAACAAACATTTAAAAATTGTTAAATTTCAGTATTAACATTTAAAATTTACGTGAATAAATAATTAATTAATATAATTGAAAAATACAAAAAAATATATTAATAATTATACAATCAATAGTAGTCTAAAATAATTTAATTATAATAACAGTGTTGGAGTCCCGTAACTAGTTTATATGTAAAAATAATAATTTTAATATTTTATAATACTATTTAACAATATTCCTAAGTAGTAAAAATACGAGGAATTAACAAAACCATAGAATAAATAAATTAGAAACCTAATTATTTAATCATTATAATAATTATTCTATATTTAATTCTTAAAATATAATTAATACTGTAAATATTTAGCCTAAAACATTAAACTCATTTAAGCATAATTACTTCCATCTTTGTTAACGACAACTATGCAGAGAAAAAAAGTACTAAATGTAAAATTAAAAAAAAATATTTTGATATGCAAAATGTGAAATGTTACAAAGAAAATAATTAGTTATAAAAATTGTTTTATGATCTTCGTGTAGATTTATTTACACAAATAATTATAAACTAACCATGATGAATCTTAAATTAATATGAAAATGATATACAAATTTTAGTTCTTGAAAATATAATTAGTTGTAAAAGAAGTATTATTAAACTGCAAAAGTGTAATTATTTTTTGTTGGTATTCAATGAACTACACTTTCTAATACTAACAATTCACCTTAGGAAATCAACAAACTTTTGTGTGATATTTGAATTAACAATGATATTAAATTGTTTTAGAACTAAATAGTTGGAGAGATAGGATATAATGAAAAATCCTTATCTAGATTTTGTCGGAGAAATAAACACGGTCGTAGCCAAAGGTACAAACTTGTTCAAAGGAGCTAACAGGAAAGTGTGTGGGAAAAACACACATTAATGCTGCTTTATTTTCTGCTTTCTGCTACCTTAGTTTCACACCGTTCTTTCGTCAAAGTTGCCTCAAAGACTAAAACACAGTCACCTTTTCTCTCTCTTTCTCACTCATGATTCTTATTTATACAAGTGAGAATCTTCTTCTCCTCTCCTCTTGTGCCATTCTGTATTTTCAAATGGCTGCACCGTGACATTTGTTAACAGTTAGTGGGGTCTGACTTCTGAGTATTTCAATACCTTATACAGGTCTCATCCTTAGTTTCCTTGCTGTTGTTCTATACTTGGAAATAGAATCAATCTTTCATTCATTTCATACCCTTTTGCTTGCTTTGGTCACTATTTACTATATCATGTATGTATTCTTCCTGGAGAAGTGCCTATTACCATTTTTTTCTTTGTGTTTGATGGTTTCACCATTTTTAGTGATGGAAGAACGCTGTTGTTCCTTGAAAAATAAGCTATGTTAAGTGTTCAAAATGCTTAGAAAATAACCCATGTTGTTACTTTTCATTTTCATTTCTCAGGAAGTAATGATATAGAGGACCCTTTGAGCCTGTATAATTTGGAAACCTACTGCTGCTGTCTGTCACAAAAGCTCTTGGATTTGTTTTGTTTTTCATTTTTTTTTCCTTCGTGAAGGGCTGTGATTATGTCAAGAGTAGAAAAAGAGATAGCAGAGTGGGGATAGAGGAGTTTCCAAAATTAATTTGAAGAAAAAAACCTCAACTGAAAAAGAATGAACTTACCAATAAAATCTTCGATTGTTGTTTATTTCCCACCATTGTGTCATCTCTTCTACCATAAAGTTTCATTGTTCGAACATCTCTTCTGCATCATTTGAGTCTTAATTGTATGGGCTGTAAGTTTATGTGAAAGAGATTATATTCCTCGTATCCCTATTGCACATCATGTTTCATTTGGCATATTCGCTTATATATGATGGTCTTTGGATGCTTTTCTTGCCGCGCTGTATGTTTTGTTTCCTTTTCACTTATTCATTGTTTTCTGCATTGGTTGGATTAGTTTTGACTTTGATATCACTGTTTTGACTTAGAAACTGAGATGCAGAATTTTTCTTTTTAATTTGCAGAACACATGGCTAATTTTGAGAGAGACGAGGTGGCAATTCTATCAGATTGTCATCCTCAAGCATCAGTTGAAGTCCTTGATTCTGGATTCCCAAGGCATGTATCTAGGACTCGAAGTGTATCAATTTCTATTCCCGCGACACTCACAGAGCCATATGAAAGAGATACTAATCTTGTGGGATACACTGGTCCCCTACGGATTCAGAGAATAACTCAGATGAGTGGTCCATTACATGTTACTAATAGACCTGGAAACCTTTTTCGGCAGAATAAAGTGGTACCCCAGTCACAAGCAGAAGAAAGTAAGACAGAAAATTTTTCTTCATGCTGTGGCATCATGGGTGAAAATGATTTGCAGAACTATGCTTGCAAGAATGAACATTTAGTCAGGTCCGGTCCACTGGGAATGTGTATTGATCCATATTGTACAACGTGCCCAACTTACTTCAAGGCTATTCAGAAAAGTAGTTCAAATGCTTCGGGTATATTTAATCATGAGGTATAAAATAAATTATACTTTTCTTTCTCTTAAGAAGCTTATGACTGCTACATGTTGAAGTTTCCTTAGATTACACTTTGTTTGTCAAGGTTCTTAAGTTTTTGCATTGATCATACTCAAGAATTTTATTCTACATGTGTATGCTTCTGCTCTATAGTTTAATTATAAGAATTGCTTATGATTTAATATGATGATTTTGTAAGGATGCCTTGGTAATTTTTTGAAACTACAACTTCTAAAGCAGCCAAAGGTTTTTATGTTTATACATAATATCATGGTGTATTTTGATTCTTATTGTGGACTACTTTGTTGTTTTCATAAATTATTGTTTCACAAGGTGATGAGATTTGGAATTGTTACTGCAGTTGGACCTAAAACGGAATTACAAGCTATTTTGTCATGCATGTGTATGCATAGAAAATAGATGTTGTGGTTTTAATTATGTTCTATTTTTTGGTTGTGTTGGCAATAATCTTTCACATTTTGAAATCTATTTTTCCATTTGTGGAAATTTGATCTTATGAATCACTTTGACAATATTAGCTTCATTTACTCAACGATTTTGAACTTTTGATATTTTCAGTTTCGGAATACTCTTTACGACGATGCCAAGAATTGGGCGAGAAGACTTTTTACTTTCTTGATTCCCCATGTTCCTAGAGTTATCAATCCTCATAATAAACTTGTACAACAATGGAAACAATTTTTTGTAATATGTTGCTTGGTGGCAATTTTTGTGGATCCGTTATTCTTCTTCTTGCTCTCTGTGCAGAAGGTATGGTTTAACCCCTTTATTATGATTCAAAATATTGCATGCTGTACTAGTTCCTATGTGATTCTTGTTATCTATGATTATGCAATTAACATGTCTTCAATTCTCATTGAAGTGTTTAACGTGCTCTAAGTTTTCTGACTTTCTTATGCAGAATAATAAGTGTATTGTTATAGACTGGGCTTTTACAAAACTTCTTGTTGCACTTAGAAGCATGAATGATTTCATTCACTTCCTAAACATTGTTCTTCAGGTAACTTTTAAGACTTTCTTACTTTTCTTATATTAAGTCAGAGTACTGTATTGTTACTTTGAGACATGTATTTAAAAGTTTTCTCTCTGTAAGAGACTAAGAGGGTATAACATAATCTGCTGAATGTTCCTTAAAGCAACCTATGAATCATATTTGTTTGCTTCTTTTTTATCATCAAATGTAAAAATCTATATGAAAATCATCATATCACATGCTAAATTTTTCTGTTGAACTTAACATTTGGCTTCCTTTCGCTACCATTTTGTACCAGTTTATTTCCTGTCAGCTTCTTTTTGTGTAACAATCACAACAAATAACTGTAGAGGTTGACACCGTAGTGTGTCTGTTGTGTTGGTACCAAACAGAGAAGAGTGATGGTCTTGAATCTTTAATCTAGTTTTATTTGTTCACAAGTCTATGTTGGTACTCTATTCTAATGCAACAGAGCTAAATTAATTATTTCACATTGACTCTCTGCAGTTTAGGTTGGCTTATGTGGCTCCTGAGTCTAGGGTGGTTGGTGCTGGGGAGTTAGTTGACCATCCAAAGAAAATAGCTCTTCATTACTTTAAGACATCTTTTTTCATTGACTTATTTGTTGTTCTTCCACTTCCTCAGGTGAATTTCTCTCCATTTCCCTTCCTGCTTATGTTCACAGCAGTATCATTTGCATGTGATTTTTTCATGATCAAGTACACAATCTACACTATGTTTTCATTCCTTGTCACTAACTTTGGGTGTATACCATTTTATGAAGATGGAAGCAATTTGGGGTGAATAATTGTCTATTTGTCAAACTCACGATCCTGGTATAATTCTGTGAAATATTTGCAGATATTCATATTGTTTGTCCTACCAACACACTTAGGGACAGGGTCAACAGGAGCAAACTATGCAAATAACCTTTTGCGCATTGTGATCCTCGTCCAGCATATCCCTAGACTATGTAGATTTCTTCCTATGATATTTTCTCCAGCTGGATTCGTATTTGAGTCTCCGTGGGCAAATTTCTTTATAAATCTTTCTACCTTTGTACTGTCTGGACATGTTGTTGGATCCTGGTGGTACCTCTTCAGTTTACAGGTAGGTTAAGGCCTTTCCTTTACATAATTGTATTTCCTTTTCAGTGGAAACTATTTCCTGCCACTTTTTTCTATAATTTCTAATTTTAAATTGACATAGCTTTGAAATTCAATTTAAATTGTAAAGGAAATGAGTCCCTATGATTTTGTGAGCTACATTAAGTTTTAAAGCATTCTTTCTATATCTTCTCCCAGAGGGTTAATCAGTGTCTACGAGAGGCCTGTGATACCACACATATTACAGGATGCACAAAATTCATTGATTGTGGACATGGAATAACTGAAGCATATCAACATAACAATAGTTGGCATAATTGGAGGAACAATACTTTTGCAAATGCTTGTTTTACTGAAGATGGTTTTCGTGATGGTTATGGCATCTTTATTAAAGCTGTCAACCTTACCGCACATCCTAATTTATCTACTAGATATTTCTATTCATCATTTTGGGGATTTCAGGTAACTTTGTTTATTGTCTTCAAGTTTATCATGTTACCAGTATATTTGTGAGGTGTATTTTTCATGAGATATAAAGCTTTCCTAGTGTTGAAAATTGAGGCAAGATAACATGCACATTAATGCTTCTAGAGCAAGAAATTCTAAAAATGAATATCCATGAATCTGGAAAAGCCTCATTGAAATTATATTGGGAACAAGATACTTTGTTGATGTATATAAATGGCATGCTTTTTAATTCAATATTTTATTTTTCAAATAGATGAAATCCTACTAATGCTCTATGCGTGTGTTTTCTGCAGCAAATTAGTACACTGACTGGGAATTTAATCCCTAGCTATTTTGTTCCCGAAATCCTTTTTACTAAGGCCATTCTTGCGTCAGGACTGTTGCTGTTTGCTCTTCTCATTGGAAACATACAGAATATTCTTCAGGCTCTTGGACGCAGGTAGAATGCCATGTTTCATATATGGAACTGAATATAAGTTCATTACTGGTTTCATGATTTTGGAATTTGGACTTTTTGGGTTGATGGTTTTAACTATGAGTTCTGGACTTCAAAGAGCTCTTGTAATATTATATTCTAGTAGTTTTTCTAGATTAATTGTGGCTAACAAATTTACCACTTGTTATATGTTAAATAGTTAGCAACATACATATATATTTATGTATATTTCATCTTCTTACTTTCTCTTACAGGAAGCTAGAGATGTCACTTAGGCGACGTGATGTTGAGCAATGGATGAGCCACCGGCGCTTAGGAGATGATCTAAGAAGGTACAATTCTTTTCCATTATGGTCAGACTTGTATTTCCCTCAGTTTTTGTTGTTAAATTGGTTAAAATTTTCTTGTTATAACTCTACTCCTTTCCAAAGCACCATTTTTGGCAATGTATATATTAACTTCAAGTAGAAAATATTACTACTTTACAGGTCAAAATAGATCAACTCAAGTCACCAACTATTAGAGAATCTTTTACTGAGTGACCAATGATAGTTTGCTTTTCTTTTTTACCTGGACAATTTGTAATATCTTGAATCTCTATATATGTGTTTCTGACTACGCTTCCACCTGAATGCATTTGCTAAAATGCATTATGCACTGGCAGTGTCTAGGAAAAGAGTGTTGATGGAAAAGGGTTATCTACAAAAAAGAGACTACTTACCAACCTCAGCACTAGTGTATAGTATAGAACTGCAATACACTTATACATGATTATTTTTCCAAAAGCCTAATTCCTTCCTCTGAATTAATGTCATGCCTCCACCAATGTGGAATATGATCAAAGAAAACTATGAGAAGCTAGTAATCATTGCCACACTATAGGAGGCTATGGCATGTTTGTTTGAGCAATGCTTAAAACAGTTTCACAATCTGTCACTTTTATACAGGCATTGAAATCATATGATTTATCTGGTTGATATAATGTGAGACAGATTCCATTCCACTTATATGATTGGTCTGTCATGTAGGAGAGTGCGACAGGCTGAACGATATAACTGGGCTGCAACAAGGGGGGTGAATGAAGAAATGCTCCTGGAGAATTTGCCAGAAGACCTCCAAAGGGAAATTAGACGTCATCTCTTCACATTTATTAAGAAAGTTAGTACAGTAGTTTCCTTGTCATCAATTCACTGGTTATATAGATTTTGCACTTGATATAACTTCTATGTTTATGAGCTCTAGAATTTGATCCTTGTTGTTTCCATTCTGCTAAATCAGTTGAGTTTTATTACAAGATAGGGTGATTTTGTGCATTGTCCACACTTCAAGCTTAAATGGATCTTACATTGTGTTTTATATGCTGCAGGTTCGAATTTTTGCCTTACTGGATGAGCCTATCTTGGATGCCATATGTGAGAGGCTAAGGCAGAAAACATATATCAAAGGAAGCAAAATTTTGTATGATTGTGGTTTGGTAGAGAAGATGGTTTTTATTGTGCGTGGAAAATTGGAGAGCGTTGGCGAAGATGGAATCAGTGCTCCCCTTTATGAAGGGAGTGTCTGTGGTGAAGAACTTCTGACATGGTGTCTTGAGCATTCCTTAGCAAGCAAAGGTACATTGCACTTCTAGAAAACAAACATTAGAAAAGTAACAACTGCTCTAAGGTACTGTTTGATATAAAGGTAGAAACTGTTATGAAAAAATTGAAGCATTTATCATATTCAATGCTTACATTTTTACCTAAGTTGAATTATTCAGCCTTATTTTCACTTTTGATCTCTTTTCCTATCATCATTTTGCAAATTTAGTCCCTCACTCTTTTCAAATTTGATCCTGTATATTTTTACTGTGTAGTTTTTGGTCCATGTAGCTTAACTTTCAGTATTTAATAACAATGTTGACTTGTGAGCATGAATGTGTTGATGTAGACTTGACTTAAGGTGCTCATTAGCGATATTCTCTATAGAATAGAGTGTGAGTCCAAGTTCCACATTGAATAGAAAGGAGAAAGTAAAATATTATATAAAAATGAAAGACATGTTCTTTTAAGGTTTTGGGTAGAGAATAGTGTTAATCTCTTACGTGGTTGGTTGGGTTCAGATCTCAACATTGTTATATTTCCTCAGTGAACCTCTTCATAGACCCAACATGTTCCATGATTATTGTATTGGCATGCTGAACTTGTTTGAAATTTTGTCTTACAGGTTGCAGAAAAGCAAGGATTCCAAGGCAAAAGCTGGTTAGTAACAGAAGAGTAATATGCTTAACAAATGTGGAGGCATTTTCCCTTAGAGCAGCAGACCTTGAAGAAGTTACAGGCCTATTTGCAAGATTCTTTAGGAATCCCCGTGTTCAAGGAGCCATAAGGTTATCATCTTCTCCTGTTTTATGCCCTAATAAAACAATCAAATATCTCATCATGTTAGTCCTTATTAAATAATGGGAATTAGATAAATTCCCCTAAACATGCATTTAATTATGAAATTAATTATCCCTTGTTGTTGATTATATTATGATAGGTATGAATCACCTTATTGGAGATGCTTTGCAGCAACAAGCATTCAGGTTGCATGGAAATACAGAATGAAATGTCTCCGTCGTGCTAAAACTACATAATCAAATGAAACATGAACATTTAGATTTCAATGTTATATATAAGGTGCATTAGACATCACTTATTCACACCTACAAATTATTGTAAAGTCATTAGCAACATATGTTTTAAAAATATAAAGCCAAATTACAATTTTTTATTATTTCAATTAATGCTTTGTAAAACAATTTTTTTTTTCATTTTCTTATCTTATTTTAAAAATTACTCATTTCCATCTCAAATGTAAAAATACTTCTAAATCATAACGTAAAATAAGCTTTGTCTTAACAACACAATATAACATTACACATATCATATACATGAACATATAAGTCTTAAGCATTTACTTATGGTGAATTATGACATCAAAACATACTAAACACTCTTATCATAAGGTATAATGTTTAAGTATAGATTCACATAATCATTATAATGTTTCTTATAAATTATTAATTTTTCCTTTACTATATGTTTTCCATTTTATTGGCAATAATATTAATAAATATTTTCTTTTGCTTTTTCTCTCCATTATTTTAAGAGGTTTTACGATATATCATATGTGTTAACAAAAGTATGTACTTTGTAAGAGTTACTTACTTAAAACTTTCCCATCATCTCCCAAGATATATATAGAGTATGGTTAAAAAAACTTCAAATTCGTGTAAATTAGATTAGCAACATGTTCAAATTAAGTTGAATTAAAACTAATAAACTTTTTTTGTAAGTCAGAATAAATCTTATAACCTTATTCACTAAGCAATTTTGAGTACGATTAAAGGAAAGTTTACCCTATATGACTTCAAATCAACCATTTGAGTTAAGATGCAAAATTTTTCACTTACTTAGAATTAGTCGGATTAAATTTATTTATTTTTAGCACAATCTCTAAAAATCAAATTAACTCATTTAACATATCCATATGATTAATTTATTCATATTAGTATGCATTCAATGAAGTATTTTACATTATATATTAATTTTTTACAAGTATCTTTTTTTATTCCTTTAATTTTGTAATTTTTGTATACAATTTACCAAGAAAACATAACATTTTTCCAATTAGACATAACATATATTTAATGAAACATCTTATAAAAATACAATAAGTTAATAGTGATATCATAATACTATAGTTATATGAGTTGATAATTAACCACTTAAAGTAGTTGTATATTTAAATATAATTGTTATAATTTTTTTTTAATGTCAAGATTTTTGAATCATGTCCATTATTTATTTTAATATTTTCACACTCTTAATCATGTAAATATAATAGTAAATTGATCTAACACAATACATTTCTTAATTTTACATCATATAATATGAAATCGATCCCTTATTAATAATCAACCGATGGGTCTATATGAACAATTCGGTCAACAGGTAACATCATTAACTAAAAATAAAGCACACTTATAAACACAAAACACAAGTTAAATACATAATGAAGATTATGACATGTTTGGACTGAGATTAAGTTATAAAAAAAATAAAATAATATAAATAAATTATTTAAATAATGAATTTTGTTGGTTACTATAGTATTTATTATTATCTTATTTGAACCTTATATGATATAATACCTTTTTCGTATATGATATAATACACTTAAAGACAATAAGCAAATGATTATCAATACTTAAGCCATAGCACTTTCTGAATTTCTCATACTTAAATCCACATACAATGTTTTTACTTAAATTCAATAATTGTATTATATTTGTATGAGTGACCTTTTTTAATTTGTCAATATTTTACCTGATTTTATCCAGTAAGATATATGTAACTATTGAGTTTAATACATATTTATTAAATTGATAAACGACAACGGGGAATTAAATATATTGGTTATGTGTCGTATCTGAGTTTGGTGAATGTGAAAAAATCATATTTATTTGGAATGTATTTTTGACCAAAAGGAAGTCTTTGCCAACTGTCAACATTTTTTTTTATTCTTTTTCTTTATTCCGTGGGGGAAAGCCAATTAGAAAACAATCACATGCCGTAAAAGTAGAGTGGAAATATCCACAAAATTTTGTTATATTAGGTTATAAAATAGTTTTTTAATAATTATATTATTAGTATATTATAATATTATTTATTAAAATAGAGAAATATACGTTTTTTTTCTAATATATAAATATACTAAAAATATTAATATAAATATAAATATGAAAATAATAAATAAATTAAAATAATTTAAATTTTGATATTTTGTGAAGCAATTTATTTTGATTATATTATTATTTTAAATATAACCTTTTACTGAGATTTGATAATAATTTTTTCATTTTAATTATAACTTATATTTTTAAAAGCTATTTTTTACATTAAGCAAATTTAAAAAAAATGATTTTGTAAATATATAAATATATAAAAATTATTATATAACATAATCGAATAATTTATATTCTGTTTTTCTCTTCTTTTTATGTTTAATTTTCTTTAATTCAAAGAAATCAGTTTTAANTATCTACTAGATATTTCTATTCATCATTTTGGGGATTTCAGGTAACTTTGTTTATTGTCTTCAAGTTTATCATGTTACCAGTATATTTGTGAGGTGTATTTTTCATGAGATATAAAGCTTTCCTAGTGTTGAAAATTGAGGCAAGATAACATGCACATTAATGCTTCTAGAGCAAGAAATTCTAAAAATGAATATCCATGAATCTGGAAAAGCCTCATTGAAATTATATTGGGAACAAGATACTTTGTTGATGTATATAAATGGCATGCTTTTTAATTCAATATTTTATTTTTCAAATAGATGAAATCCTACTAATGCTCTATGCGTGTGTTTTCTGCAGCAAATTAGTACACTGACTGGGAATTTAATCCCTAGCTATTTTGTTCCCGAAATCCTTTTTACTAAGGCCATTCTTGCGTCAGGACTGTTGCTGTTTGCTCTTCTCATTGGAAACATACAGAATATTCTTCAGGCTCTTGGACGCAGGTAGAATGCCATGTTTCATATATGGAACTGAATATAAGTTCATTACTGGTTTCATGATTTTGGAATTTGGACTTTTTGGGTTGATGGTTTTAACTATGAGTTCTGGACTTCAAAGAGCTCTTGTAATATTATATTCTAGTAGTTTTTCTAGATTAATTGTGGCTAACAAATTTACCACTTGTTATATGTTAAATAGTTAGCAACATACATATATATTTATGCATATTTCATCTTCTTACTTTCTCTTACAGGAAGCTAGAGATGTCACTTAGGCGACGTGATGTTGAGCAATGGATGAGCCACCGGCGCTTAGGAGATGATCTAAGAAGGTACAATTCTTTTCCATTATGGTCAGACTTGTATTTCCCTCAGTGTTTGTTGTTAAATTGGTTAAAATTTTCTTGTTATAACTCTACTCCTTTCCAAAGCACCATTTTTGGCAATGTATATATTAACTTCAAGTAGAAAATATTACTACTTTACAGGTCAAAATAGATCAACTCAAGTCACCAACTATTAGAGAATCTTTTACTGAGTGACCAATGATAGTTTGCTTTTCCTTTTTACCTGGACAATTTGTAATATCTTGAATCTCTATATATGTGTTTCTGACTACGCTTCCACCTGAATGCATTTGCTAAAATGCATTATGCACTGGCAGTGTCTAGGAAAAGAGTGTTGATGGAAAAGGGTTATCTACAAAAAAGAGACTACTTACCAACCTCAGCACTAGTGTATAGTATAGAACTGCAATACACTTATACATGATTATTTTTCCAAAAGCCTAATTCCTTCCTCTGAATTAATGTCATGCCTCCACCAATGTGGAATATGATCAAAGAAAACTATGAGAAGCTAGTAATCATTGCCACACTATAGGAGGCTATGGCATGTTTGTTTGAGCAATGCTTAAAACAGTTTCACAATCTGTCACTTTTATACAGGCATTGAAATCATATGATTTATCTGGTTGATATAATGTGAGACAGATTCCATTCCACTTATATGATTGGTCTGTCATGTAGGAGAGTGCGACAGGCTGAACGATATAACTGGGCTGCAACAAGGGGGGTGAATGAAGAAATGCTCCTGGAGAATTTGCCAGAAGACCTCCAAAGGGAAATTAGACGTCATCTCTTCACATTTATTAAGAAAGTTAGTACAGTAGTTTCCTTGTCATCAATTCACTGGTTATATAGATTTTGCACTTGATATAACTTCTATGTTTATGAGCTCTAGAATTTGATCCTTGTTGTTTCCATTCTGCTAAATCAGTTGAGTTTTATTACAAGATAGGGTGATTTTGTGCATTGTCCACACTTCAAGCTTAAATGGATCTTACATTGTGTTTTATATGCTGCAGGTTCGAATTTTTGCCTTACTGGATGAGCCTATCTTGGATGCCATATGTGAGAGGCTAAGGCAGAAAACATATATCAAAGGAAGCAAAATTTTGTATGATTGTGGTTTGGTAGAGAAGATGGTTTTTATTGTGCGTGGAAAATTGGAGAGCGTTGGCGAAGATGGAATCAGTGCTCCCCTTTATGAAGGGAGTGTCTGTGGTGAAGAACTTCTGACATGGTGTCTTGAGCATTCCTTAGCAAGCAAAGGTACATTGCACTTCTAGAAAACAAACATTAGAAAAGTAACAACTGCTCTAAGGTACTGTTTGATATAAAGGTAGAAACTGTTATGAAAAAATTGAAGCATTTATCATATTCAACGCTTACATTTTTACCTAAGTTGAATTATTCAGCCTTATTTTCACTTTTGATCTCTTTTCCTATCATCATTTTGCAAATTTAGTCCCTCACTCTTTTCAAATTTGGTCCTGTATATTTTTACTGTGCAGTTTTTGGTCCATGTAGCTTAACTTTCAGTATTTAATAACAATGTTGACTTGTGAGCATGAATGTGTTGATGTAGACTTGACTTAAGGTGCTCATTAGCGATATTCTCTATAGAATAGAGTGTGAGTCCAAGTTCCACATTGAATAGAAAGGAGAAAGTAAAATATTATATAAAAATGAAAGACACATTGTTTTAAGGTTTTGGGTAGAGAATAGTTTAATATCTTGCGTGGTTGTGCTCAGATCTCAACATTGTTATATTTCCTCAGTGAACCTCTTCATAGACCCAACATGTTCCATGATTATAGTATTGGCATGCTGAACTTGTTTGAAATTTTGTCTTACAGGTTGCAGAAAAGCAAGGATTCCAAGGCAAAAGCTGGTTAGTAACAGAAGAGTAATATGCTTAACAAATGTGGAGGCATTTTCCCTTAGAGCAGCAGACCTTGAAGAAGTTACAGGCCTATTTGCAAGATTCTTTAGGAATCCCCGTGTTCAAGGAGCCATAAGGTTATCATCTTCTCCTGTTTTATGCCCTAATAAAACAATCAAATATCTCATCATGTTAGTCCTTATTAAATAATGGGAATTAGATAAATTCCCCTAAACATGCATTTAATTATGAAATTAATTATCCCTTGTTGTTGATTATATTATGATAGGTATGAATCACCTTATTGGAGATGCTTTGCAGCAACAAGCATTCAGGTTGCATGGAAATACAGAATGAAATGTCTCCGTCGTGCTAAAACTACATAATCAAATGAAACATGAACATTTAGATTTCAATGTTATATATAAGGTGCATTAGACATCACTTATTCACACCTACAAATTATTGTAAAGTCATTAGCAACATATGTTTTAAAAATATAAAGCCAAATTACAATTTTTTATTATTTCAATTAATGCTTTGTAAAACAATTTTTTTTTTCATTTTCTTATCTTATTTTAAAAATTACTCATTTCCATCTCAAATGTAAAAATACTTCTAAATCATAACGTAAAATAAGCTTTGTCTTAACAACACAATATAACATTACACATATCATATACATGAACATATAAGTCTTAAGCATTTACTTATGGTGAATTATGACATCAAAACATACTAAACACTCTTATCATAAGGTATAATGTTTAAGTATAGATTCACATAATCATTATAATGTTTCTTATAAATTATTAATTTTTCCTTTACTATATGTTTTCCATTTTATTGGCAATAATATTAATAAATATTTTCTTTTGCTTTTTCTCTCCATTATTTTAAGAGGTTTTACGATATATCATATGTGTTAACAAAAGTATGTACTTTGTAAGAGTTACTTACTTAAAACTTTCCCATCATCTCCCAAGATATATATAGAGTATGGTTAAAAAAACTTCAAATTCGTGTAAATTAGATTAGCAACATGTTCAAATTAAGTTGAATTAAAACTAATAAACTTTTTTTGTAAGTCAGAATAAATCTTATAACCTTATGCACTAAGCAATTTTGAGTACGATTAAAGGAAAGTTTACCCTATATGACTTCAAATCAACCGTTTGAGTTAAGATGCAAAATTTTTCACTTACTTTAAAATTAGTGGGATTAAATTTATTTATTTTTAGCACAATCTCTAAAAATCAAATTAACTCATTTAACATATCCATATGATTAATTTATTCATATTAGTATGCATTCAATGAAGTATTTTACATTATATATTAATTTTTTACAAGTATCTTTTTTTATTCCTTTAATTTTGTAATTTTTGTATACAATTTACCAAGAAAACATAACATTTTTCCAATTAGACATAACATATATTTAATGAAACATCTTATAAAAATACAATAAGTTAATAGTGATATCATAATACTATAGTTATATGAGTTGATAATTAACCACTTAAAGTAGTTGTATATTTAAATATAATTGTTATAATTTTTTTTAATGTCAAGATTTTTGAATCATGTCCATTATTTATTTTAATATTTTCACACTCTTAATCATGTAAATATAATAGTAAATTGATCTAACACAATACTTTTCTTAATTTTACATTATATAATATGATATCGATCCCTTATTAATAATCAACCGATGGGTCTATATGAACAATTCGGTCAACAGGTAACATCATTAACTAAAAATAAAGCACACTTATAAACACAAAACACAAGTTAAATACATAATGAAGATTATGACATGTTTGGACTGAGATTAAGTTATAAAAAAAATAAAATAATATAAATAAATTATTTAAATAATGAATTTTGTTGGTTACTATAGTATTTATTATTATCTTATTTGAACCTTATATGATATAATACCTTTTTCTTATATGATATAATACACTTAAAGACAATATGCAAATGATTATCAATACTTAAGCCATAGCACTTTCTGAATTTCTCATACTTAAATCCACATACAATGTTTTTACTTAAATTCAATAATTGTATTATATTTGTATGAGTGACCTTTTTTAATTTGTCAATATTTTACCTGATTTTATCCAGTAAGATATATGTAACTATTGAGTTTAATACATATTTATTAAATTGATAAACGACAACGGGGAATTAAATATATTGGTTATGTGTCGTATCTGAGTTTGGTGAATGTGAAAAAATCATATTTATTTGGAATGTATTTTTGACCAAAAGGAAGTCTTTGCCAACTGTCAACATTTTTTTTTATTCTTTTTCTTTATTCCGTGGGGGAAAGCCAATTAGAAAACAATCACATGCCGTAAAAGTAGAGTGGAAATATCCACAAAATTTTGTTATATTAGGTTATAAAATAGTTTTTTAATAATTATATTATTAGTATATTGTAATATTATTTATTAAAATAGAGAAATATACGTTTTTTTTTCTAATATATAAATATACTAAAAATATTAATATAAATATAAATATGAAAATAATAAATAAATTAAAATAATTTAAATTTTGATATTTTGTGAAGCAATTTATTTTAATTATATTATTATTTTAAAATATAACCTTTTACTGAGATTTGATAATAATTTTTTCATTTTAATTATAACTTATATTTTTAAAAGCTATTTTTTACATTAAGCAAATTTTAAAAAAATGATTTTGTAAATATATAAATATATAAAAATTATTATATAACATAATCGAATAATTTATATTCTGTTTTTCTCTTCTTTTTATGTTTAATTTTCTTTAATTCAAAGAAATCAGTTTTAAATCTTATTTCATTCGTTTCTTTTCTTTTTACCGTTTCTCTTAAATAAACAAAGCATTAATTAATAAAAATTGTATTCTTACATAAATTTTCTTTCCATGTTTTTTGGACAGTATCAAAGGAACCGTTAATCTTAATTCATGTTCTTAAAAACAATGAATTGTTTCATATTATGAAGTTATTATTTCTTTCTTTGACTTAATAAATAAAGTTAAATTTAAAGTATACAGTTAATATATTTGAAAGGAGCTATGCCTTTCATCATGGTGTTATCTAATTTAAATAAAGCAAAAAATGTTATCTATCTATATATATATATATATATATATATATATATATAAAAGTTTTTTTTAATAAAGTTGACTAATTTTCCTACTACTCCTCAGTATAACAATATACCTTAACTCATTGCTTTGCTGGTAGGCAAGTTCTAGGAAAAGAACCAAAATAATCAAAGAACCTAAGATAAAGCAAGAAAATAGAAAGTTTGGTGTGGGATTTTGATAGAACGTGGTATTACAAGGTAAAAGATTATACTTTCACTGTCATTGTTGTAAAAAGGAAGGCTTTTATACTTATTTTATCTTCTTGATTTCTCTATTTTCTAAATTATGTTTATTAGAAACATTGTTCATATTTAAATATACAAATATTTTATACAGATAAATAAAAGTTAAAGTGAGGAAGAAAGTCATTGTATTCTGGGAGAAAACATTTGAAAAGGATAGACCTTTACATGTTTCTATGCCGTAGCGCACATTCCAAGGACTAATAAACAAATTTAAAAAAAAAAAAATCAAAGGAAGCCATCCCTCTCACAGAATGACTGTCCAAATCCATTTCCAACTCTAATTTCAACTTTCAATTCTTCATCACACACGCTCACTTCATATCAAACTCACATTTTCACTCTTACACCTCTTGGTGTTTACCTCTGTTCATTTCTCGTTTTTTCCTTAAACTGATTCTACCCTTTTGTGAGAATCTCCTCTCCAGTGCCCCCCGTGAATTTCGAAGCTCTCAAAAGTTCAATCTTTCTCTTAATTGGATGTAAAAAAGCTGGCGGGTGTTTTGGGTTTTGACTCTTCTCCGGGAAATTCGTTCCTCACCAGGTTTCTGAATTCTGATCAGTGTTGTTTTCCTTAATTATTGCTTGATCATTGCCTTTGCACAATGTTGGCCTCGTTTCATCGTGCTAGAATTCTTCTACTGATTCCAAAGCTATTGCTAATTTTCAATTCTGTATATTACAGTATGTATGTGTATCCTAAGTTTTTGGAATGCATGTAGAGGTTGCTGATTCATGCATCAGTGTTTTGGTATCATTGGTTTTGGTCAATGGATAACTATTTAGTTCTTTTCAAGCTCCAGAGGATTTTAGATAAGGGAGTTGATTATTTTTATCTTGAATAAATATATGTTCTATTTCTAGTGAGTAAGTAGGTGATATAAATTCACAACTAGATTTCACTATTGTGTTCGTAAGTTGCAACACTAGATTAAGTACCCCTTTTAATCGTTGTATGATCACACATCCTCATCATCTTGTTGGTGTTTAATAGTCCTGAAATGCTAGAAGTATTCGTCTGGAAAATGAATTGCAGCCTACTGAGTTTTGGTAAAGGATCAATGTGGAATATAAATGCAAGGGAAAGTTAATACTGGTATCTGTATTAAATTCAATCTGGTTCTGTTACTGCTGTATAGTATTTGGCTTTTTCATGCACTAAACCACTTTTTAATTTTACATTCCCCCTTTTCACATTTCAAGTTAAATTTCAGTATTTGATTTAGAGTTGCTGATATGATGCAGAAATATATATGCATTGGATGTTTTGCTAACTTTGTAAAAAATTGCAGAATAATCAAAACATGGCTAATTTTGAGAATGACAAGCGCCCAATGTTGTCGGATACAGATGCACAACCATACGATGAACCTTCGGATTCTAAATTCCGAAGGATGGTAACCAGGACTCAAAGCGCTTCAATTTCTATTCCCATGAGTTCCTTGGAGTCATATGAGAAAGAAACTAGCCTTGTGGGACATACTGGTCCACTTCTGAGCAAGAGAAAAACACCCTATATGCATATGAGTGGTCCATTATATGCTACCACTGGAACTGGAAATCTTTTGCAGAAGCATGTTGTATCGGGAAACAAAGCAGATGACAGAAATACAGATAATTTTTCTACTCTCCATGGCTCAAGTTCAAATTACCAAAATAGTGACTATGATAGAAAAAATGAACACTTACTAAGGTCTGGGCAACTGGGAATGTGCAATGATCCTTATTGTACTACTTGCCCTACTTACTTCAATGCTTCTCAGCAAAGAAATCCAAAATCTTCTGCTAGATGGGATCCAAAGGTTTGTATCCTTCATCCTAAAACAGACTATAGTTTCAGTTGTCTTCAGTTATTTAGTGCATAGACAAACATTTTACTTTAGATGCTTGTTTTCATGTTGTGGACCTTTATTTTGGCAACGATCAGGATGTCACTATGGTATAATAATAATTTGTAGGTATTTGGTTCAGTTGTACTAAAGTAGTTTTTAAGTAGGCTGTTAATAGATGGACCTTTAGTTAAGCAGGTCTATGTTAGGAAGAAGGGGATTGGGCCAGGAGCTAGACGGACCAAACTAATGTAGCACAAGACTCAGTTTAGCTATTGGTGGTAGTAATTAGGAGTTTGGGTCAGAATTAGCAGCAGTTGATATTTGTATGAGGATAACAGATTAGGGGATTTGGTTGTCTCACAATGTGAGGCATGTAGGAGAGTTTAGTATCTGTCTGACTTCGGTGGAGCACCCTGTTTTTGTTGCAAAGTCCCACAATGCTGGCTTAAATTCTAAGGGTGTTGCTTATATATTTGTTGGGCAATATCACTTAATATCAATTGGTTTTGAGATGACTTTGACATGGTATCAGATCCTATAGCACATCTTAATCAATTACTTATTATAATTGGTATCTCTGGAAGGGGGGTGTCAAGAAGTTTCACATTGTTTGTGCCAATTCTTGGAGTGCTACATACATATCTGTTGAAGAACTTAAAATCAATTGGTTTTAAGGTGAACTCTGGCAAAGTATCAAAGCATATAATCCATCTTGATAAATAAGTCATTCTGGCAAGGTAGCCTATTCTGACAAACATCTGTGAAGGAATTGTTAGTAAGTTCCTCATGTCTGTCTCAATTTTTGGCTGTTGCTTATATATTTGCTGAACAACTTCACTTAGTGCCACTAGGTTCTAAGAAGAACTCTCACATAGTATCAGAGAGCACACAGCCCATCTTGGTCAATAGCCTATTCTGTAGAGTAGTCTGTTCTGGCAGACATATGTGGCAGGAGTGTTGGGAACTCCTGCATGGTTGACTCAATTTTTAGGGTGATGTTTATATATTTGTAGGATAATTTCACTAGGTTTTAAGATGAAATTTGGCAGTTTTTTTCTCTTTTCATGCTGCTTTCATACTGGGTTAGACCTGAAGATTGTTCCTATTCAATAAATATTCATTCTTCACTTTTTCAACCGCACCACTGTAGCAGCTATTGTTTTCATATTTATGCATATCCTTGTAATATAGTTTTTACTCTCAATCAACAAGATGATTGTACTTCTCTACTTTTATAATTGTGTTTTATTTTTTGCATTTTGAAATCACCATATTTTAATAATATCTTAATAATCAATATGTTGAATGGTTTTGCTGCGAAAAACACTTTGTTTAAGTAGCTAGTCATTTGGATTTATATTCACGAGAAAGATTGTTAGTCCTTAGGCCCGATTTAGCTGAAGCATAGAAACTATAATTGCTATTTAATTTTGGTAAATCATTAGTAGTCATTATTTTATAAAATTCAGATTATGTTACGGTATAAAGTAGGGGGTAATAATAAGGTTTGGAAAGTATATGAGAAGGAGAAGGAAGGTAGGAGGAAAGTGAAGCCGAACGGTATTGACCGGAAAAGCCGAAGGTAGCCGGACGGTAGCCGAACGGTGGAAGGCGGTGAAGAGCTGGAGCCGAACGGTAATAAACAAGGGGAAGTAAGCCGAACGGGAGCTGAACCCGATCGGTTGAAGAGTGACTATCCTAACTGTCCCAGTTAGGATAGGCAGGAAATATTTAGAAATAATTATAGTAAATAAGAATATATCTTAGGGAAATATTTTATTTAGAACAATATTCATATTTTATTCTGGGGAAAGATTTTATTCTAGGGGAAATATTTTATTCTAGGAAAATATTTTATTTAGGAAATAATTACTAGAAATAAAGGAGAGTCCAGGGTTAAAGGTATGCTTTTGAATATTGAGTTGTTGACAGGCGGCTACCGTCTTGTGAGGGAGGTTATGCTCCCAAAGTAATTGACGGAGGTTATGCTCCCAATTATTGTTTACTTTTGTTTATTCAGATATTGCCATCAATAAAAGAGATTCATTCTTCCTTATCATTCGCTTATTGTTTTGTTTCGTGTTGTGAGAGTGTGAGAGGTTGTATTTGGCTAGTTTACGTACTCAGGTATGTAACAGATTATTTATGAGTTTTATTTTTATTAAGACATCACTCTAAAAAGCAGCACTATGAGAATAGGACATCTCAACTAGGTTCACATATCAAATCTCAACAATCACATGCTCCCTAGAGGATATGTATAATATATAGAAAATAGAAAAAATCAATACAAACACATGGGGGGACCAAACCAAAACCCATGAAATTGAAAAATCCTATATTAAGGCAAACCAAACCTATCTCTAAAAAAATCCTGACTAATACAAGAAGTCAAGTATTTACACTAATTAATGTGTGATTTAGAAGAAAATATTTTTCTTTTGCTTAAACACTTGTTTGGTGATGCACCAAGAGAAAACATCTGTTAGCAACAAGAAAAATAAATTTCTGAGTTATATTCTCGAAGTTGAAGGCACCACTCTTTTAACTCATGAAAATTTCCAATGGGAAATATTAGATATTGATAAATTTTTTTACTATATCAGAAGAAAATACAAAAAAAGAGAGAGAAGAGAGGATATTGCAAGTGTAATTCACTAAATAGTTTCCGAATAATTGTGATTTACTAATTTGTGGTGCCTTAATCTGACAATTGGTATGTTTATAGTATTGTCTACTATCATATGATCCTTGTATCCTCTTAATATGGGTACATTGCGGGAAACCACTCTCGTAATCCTCAAGATTGTCCTTGTTACTATACTTTTAACAAAATTCTTATTTTCAAGCTGTGTCAATGAACATTGATTTGCTACCACTAAGGCTATTACTATTTGTCCTGGTTCACTTTGAGGGGCAATCAAAGTATTGTCAACTAGCAACTTTAAGTTGTCTCATTATTTATCCAATACTTGTTATCTGCTACAAACTTTACTGTATCATTATCATTAATCTTATTGTAACATTTTCCATTTCTTTTTGTAGACATTCGTCATTGACAATCACTTTCCATAATTAACTCTACTTTTGTTCATATTTTGAATGCAGTTCCATAATGCTCTTTATGGGGATGCCAAGAGTTTTGTGAGGAAACTTCCTTCTTTATTTTCTTCTTATGTTCCTGGAGTTATGAACCCTCACGCTAAAGTTGTACAAAAGTGGAGCAAATTTTTGGCCATTTTTTGCTTAATTGGTATTTTTGTGGACCCATTGTTTTTCTTTTCACTCTATGTGGAGAAGGTACGCTTATTTTCCATTAACTACAAAGTAGCAAGTTCTAGATGTCACTCTTTCTATTTACAAATTTACTCTTCATTTTTCCTGTTCATTATGCAGGTGAATAAATGCATTGTTATCAACTGGCCATTGGCAACAACACTTGCTTTAGTTAGATGCGTGAATGATTTTGTTTATTTCCTTAACATTCTTCTCCAGGTATCGTCTCGTTAATTACCTTTTCGTAAACCCTTTCTCCTATCCCCTGAATTTTCATTTGTGCAAATCCTTTTCCTCATATAATGGTCAAACTCTGTCATTGATGCCAGGTTTTTATTAATCTATGTTCTTAGTTTTGAGAAGGTATATATTCTGATGCATGTCCTTCAGCATAATAACAGAGTTTAGTTTCGTATAAGCCAACTTAAAGGGAGTTTATTCTATTCAAATAAGATGTTACTATCTCATTCTGCAAGTATGTCTACATCCTGTTTGGTTACCCACCCATAATTTCACTTAACCACACCCCATTCAAGACAATTGCTCCATATATCTATCAAGTATAGAGCCTTGNTATTTGGCTTTTTCATGCACTAAACCACTTTTTAATTTTACATTCCCCCTTTTCACATTTCAAGTTAAATTTCAGTATTTGATTTAGAGTTGCTGATATGATGCAGAAATATATATGCATTGGATGTTTTGCTAACTTTGTAAAAAATTGCAGAATAATCAAAACATGGCTAATTTTGAGAATGACAAGCGCCCAATGTTGTCGGATACAGATGCACAACCATACGATGAACCTTCGGATTCTAAATTCCGAAGGATGGTAACCAGGACTCAAAGCGCTTCAATTTCTATTCCCATGAGTTCCTTGGAGTCATATGAGAAAGAAACTAGCCTTGTGGGACATACTGGTCCACTTCTGAGCAAGAGAAAAACACCCTATATGCATATGAGTGGTCCATTATATGCTACCACTGGAACTGGAAATCTTTTGCAGAAGCATGTTGTATCGGGAAACAAAGCAGATGACAGAAAGACAGATAATTTTTCTACTCTCCATGGCTCAAGTTCAAATTACCAAAATAGTGACTATGATAGAAAAAATGAACACTTACTAAGGTCTGGGCAACTGGGAATGTGCAATGATCCTTATTGTACTACTTGCCCTACTTACTTCAATGCTTCTCAGCAAAGAAATCCAAAATCTTCTGCTAGATGGGATCCAAAGGTTTGTATCCTTCATCCTAAAACAGACTATAGTTTCAGTTGTCTTCAGTTATTTAGTGCATAGACAAACATTTTACTTTAGATGCTTGTTTTCATGTTGTGGACCTTTATTTTGGCAACGATCAGGATGTCACTATGGTATAATAATAATTTGTAGGTATTTGGTTCAGTTGTACTAAAGTAGTTTTTAAGTAGGCTGTTAATAGATGGACCTTTAGTTAAGCAGGTCTATGTTAGGAAGAAGGGGATTGGGCCAGGAGCTAGACGGACCAAACTAATGTAGCACAAGACTCAGTTTAGCTATTGGTGGTAGTAATTAGGAGTTTGGGTCAGAATTAGCAGCAGTTGATATTTGTATGAGGATAACAGATTAGGGGATTTGGTTGTCTCACAATGTGAGGCATGTAGGAGAGTTTAGTATCTGTCTGACTTCGGTGGAGCACCCTGTTTTTGTTGCAAAGTCCCACAATGCTGGCTTAAATTCTAAGGGTGTTGCTTATATATTTGTTGGGCAATATCACTTAATATCAATTGGTTTTGAGATGACTTTGACATGGTATCAGATCCTATAGCACATCTTAATCAATTACTTATTATAATTGGTATCTCTGGAAGGGGGGTGTCAAGAAGTTTCACATTGTTTGTGCCAATTCTTGGAGTGCTACATACATATCTGTTGAAGAACTTAAAATCAATTGGTTTTAAGGTGAACTCTGGCAAAGTATCAAAGCATATAATCCATCTTGATAAATAAGTCATTCTGGCAAGGTAGCCTATTCTGACAAACATCTGTGAAGGAATTGTTAGGAAGTTCCACATGTCTGTCTCAATTTTTGGCTGTTGCTTATATATTTGCTGAACAACTTCACTTAGTGCCACTAGGTTCTAAGAAGAACTCTCACATAGTATCAGAGAGCACACAGCCCATCTTGGTCAATAGCCTATTCTGTAGAGTAGTCTGTTCTGGCAGACATATGTGGCAGGAGTGTTGGGAACTCCTGCATGGTTGACTCAATTTTTAGGGTGATGTTTATATATTTGTAGGATAATTTCACTAGGTTTTAAGATGAAATTTGGCAGTTTTTTTCTCTTTTCATGCTGCTTTCATACTGGGTTAGACCTGAAGATTGTTCCTATTCAATAAATATTCATTCTTCACTTTTTCAACCGCACCACTGTAGCAGCTATTGTTTTCATATTTATGCATATCCTTGTAATATAGTTTTTACTCTCAATCAACAAGATGATTGTACTTCTCTACTTTTATAATTGTGTTTTATTTTTTGCATTTTGAAATCACCATATTTTAATAATATCTTAATAATCAATATGTTGAATGGTTTTGCTGCGAAAAACACTTTGTTTAAGTAGCTAGTCATTTGGATTTATATTCACGAGAAAGATTGTTAGTCCTTAGGCCCGATTTAGCTGAAGCATAGAAACTATAATTGCTATTTAATTTTGGTAAATCATTAGTAGTCATTATTTTATAAAATTCAGATTATGTTACGGTATAAAGTAGGGGGTAATAATAAGGTTTGGAAAGTATATGAGAAGGAGAAGGAAGGTAGGAGGAAAGTGAAGCCGAACGGTATTGACCGGAAAAGCCGAAGGTAGCCGGACGGTAGCCGAACGGTGGAAGGCGGTGAAGAGCTGGAGCCGAACGGTAATAAACAAGGGGAAGTAAGCCGAACGGGAGCTGAACCCGATCGGTTGAAGAGTGACTATCCTAACTGTCCCAGTTAGGATAGGCAGGAAATATTTAGAAATAATTATAGTAAATAAGAATATATCTTAGGGAAATATTTTATTTAGAACAATATTCATATTTTATTCTGGGGAAAGATTTTATTCTAGGGGAAATATTTTATTCTAGGAAAATATTTTATTTAGGAAATAATTACTAGAAATAAAGGAGAGTCCAGGGTTAAAGGTATGCTTTTGAATATTGAGTTGTTGACAGGCGGCTACCGTCTTGTGAGGGAGGTTATGCTCCCAAAGTAATTGACGGAGGTTATGCTCCCAATTATTGTTTACTTTTGTTTATTCAGATATTGCCATCAATAAAAGAGATTCATTCTTCCTTATCATTCGCTTATTGTTTTGTTTCGTGTTGTGAGAGTGTGAGAGGTTGTATTTGGCTAGTTTACGTACTCAGGTATGTAACAGATTATTTATGAGTTTTATTTTTATTAAGACATCACTCTAAAAAGCAGCACTATGAGAATAGGACATCTCAACTAGGTTCACATATCAAATCTCAACAATCACATGCTCCCTAGAGGATATGTATAATATATAGAAAATAGAAAAAATCAATACAAACACATGGGGGGACCAAACCAAAACCCATGAAATTGAAAAATCCTATATTAAGGCAAACCAAACCTATCTCTAAAAAAATCCTGACTAATACAAGAAGTCAAGTATTTACACTAATTAATGTGTGATTTAGAAGAAAATATTTTTCTTTTGCTTAAACACTTGTTTGGTGATGCACCAAGAGAAAACATCTGTTAGCAACAAGAAAAATAAATTTCTGAGTTATATTCTCGAAGTTGAAGGCACCACTCTTTTAACTCATGAAAATTTCCAATGGGAAATATTAGATATTGATAAATTTTTTTACTATATCAGAAGAAAATACAAAAAAAGAGAGAGAAGAGAGGATATTGCAAGTGTAATTCACTAAATAGTTTCCGAATAATTGTGATTTACTAATTTGTGGTGCCTTAATCTGACAATTGGTATGTTTATAGTATTGTCTACTATCATATGATCCTTGTATCCTCTTAATATGGGTACATTGCGTGAAACCACTCTCGTAATCCTCAAGATTGTCCTTGTTACTATACTTTTAACAAAATTCTTATTTTCAAGCTGTGTCAATGAACATTGATTTGCTACCACTAAGGCTATTACTATTTGTCCTGGTTCACTTTGAGGGGCAATCAAAGTATTGTCAACTAGCAACTTTAAGTTGTCTCATTATTTATCCAATACTTGTTATCTGCTACAATCTTTACTGTATCATTATCATTAATCTTATTGTAACATTTTCCATTTCTTTTTGTAGACATTCGTCATTGACAATCACTTTCCATAATTAATTCTACTTTTGTTCATATTTTGAATGCAGTTCCATAATGCTCTTTATGGGGATGCCAAGAGTTTTGTGAGGAAACTTCCTTCTTTATTTTCTTCTTATGTTCCTGGAGTTATGAACCCTCACGCTAAAGTTGTACAAAAGTGGAGCAAATTTTTGGCCATTTTTTGCTTAATTGGTATTTTTGTGGACCCATTGTTTTTCTTTTCACTCTATGTGGAGAAGGTACGCTTATTTTCCATTAACTACAAAGTAGCAAGTTCTAGATGTCACTCTTTCTATTTACAAATTTACTCTTCATTTTTCCTGTTCATTATGCAGGTGAATAAATGCATTGTTATCAACTGGCCATTGGCAACAACACTTGCTTTAGTTAGATGCGTGAATGATTTTG